AACCCACCCTGGATCAACCCAATGCATCCAGCTCAACACAACCTGGATCAACTCATCTCATCCAACCCAACCTGGATCAATCCATCTCATCCAAGCCAACATGGATCAACCCAACTCAATCCAACCCATCTCATCTAGCTCAACCCATCTCATGCAACCCAACCTGGATCAACCCAACACATCCAGCCCTACCTGGATCAACCCAACCTTTCCAACTCAACCCATCTCAACCCAACCCAACCTAGATTAATCCAACCCAACTTGGCTCAACCCAACCCCATCCAACCCAACCCATCCCAACCCATCCAACCCAACCCAACCTAGATCAACCCAGCCAACCCAATCCATCCACCCCAACCTAGACCAACCCATCCAACCCAATCCATCCACCCCATCCAACTCAAACCATCTCAACCCAACTTGGCTTAACCCAACCCATCCAACCCAACGCAACCTAGATCAACCCATCTAATCCAACTCAACCTAGATCAACCCATCTCAACCAAACCCATCCAAAGCAACCCAACCCGTCCAACCCAACCCAACCTAGATCAACCCATCCCAACCCAACCCAACCTAGATCAACCCATCCAACCCAACCCATCTAACCCAACCCAACTTAGATCAACCCAACCTAGATCAACTCATCCAACCCAACCCATCCAACCCAACCCAACCTAGATCAACCCATCCCAACCCATCCAACCCAACCCATCTCAACCCATCCAAGCCAACCCAATGTAGATCAACCCATCTAACTCATCTCAACCTAGATCAACCCATCTAACTCATCTCAACCTAGATCAACCCATCTAACTCATCTCAACCTAGATCAACCCATCTAACTCATCTCAACCTAGATCAACCCATCTAACTCATCTCAACCTAGATCAACCCATCTAACTCATCTCAACCTAGATCAACCCATCTAACTCATCTCAACCTAGATCAACCCATCTCAACACAACCCATCCCAACCCATCCAACCCAACCCAACCTAGATCAACCCATCCCATCCCATCCAACCCAACCTAGATCAACCTATCTCAACCCAACCCATCCAACCCAACCCATCCCCACCTAGACCACCTCATCCCAACCCCGCTGCCCCCCTCACCGTGTCCCCCCCCGGTTTCACCGCAGAACTCGCGGTACCAGACCTACCAGCGCATGTGGAACTACATGCAGTCCAAGCAGCCCAGCGTCTTCGTGAAGAGCACGGAGGAAGGGATCGCCCGCGTCCTCAACTCCAAGTACGCCTT